ATCACAACGACACCCTATGCAAGTGTACACTAAACTTTAAAGTGTTATCACAACGACACCCTTTGCAAGTGTACATTAAAATTTAAAGTGTCATCACAACGACACCCTATGCAAGTGTACATTAAAATTTACAGTGTTTTCACAAAGACACCCTATGCAAATGTAAACTAAACTTCAAAGTGTCATTACAACGACACCTTATGCAAGTGTACACTAAACTTTAATGACACTACATTTTTAACTAGCAAAATAAGGATTACTCCGTTATATAAATTTTGAAATGTACCGCTTTATATATCACTCTGTAAATAATGGGTTTCTTTAATTCTGCCTATAGTCCCCTTTTTAATGCAACATATTCTAAACAAAAAAAGTTGCTAAAATTCCTTAAAATCTAATGAATAAAAAGGTTTTTATTATGGTCAACAGCTATCTTATTGTCTCAAATAGGTCAACAATATCAGTACGAGAAGTGAGTAAAGGATTTAAAACCCGGGCAAAAACTAGCATTAGCCTTGACCCCCAACTCTGTATTCAAATTAGGCAGCTTGTGTCACGTGATTAATGTTTTGCATTGTAACTCAGAGAAAAATTCTCCAAACATGGGTGAGATAAAATCCTTCAAACAGGGTGAGATAAAGTGCAAAACTATTTTTCTTCACATTTCTTCGTGCTGTTTAACGAGGGGAGGAAGGCCAGCCACAACAATTTCTAGTCCGAGCCACATTCTCCTCATTTTCTCGTCCGAGCCACCTCTAAATCCTCGTCCTTCCAATATTATTTTTAAGAGTGTCTAGTCCTCCAAGATAAAACAATTTTTTAAGAATCGGGCCACGTTAGGGCATTAATGAAATATTGAAGTTTAGTAAATCGAAAAAAAAATAGTTTTAATTGAAATAAGTTTTTGAGTACTATGTCCTAAAAAATGTTCACCTTTTTTACCCGTATTTTCAGATATTCCTGGTGTAGAATGCCGCAAATAATTCCAAGATTATAGAACTTTTTTCTTAATTATTGTGAAAACCATAGATTTTTTCTGAGTGGTTCCATAGGGACAATGATAGGCATAGTTATGCTAAATATTTTGCTATTTATTTCATATCGCAAAGGTTGGCCATTAAAATAGAGACAGAAGAGTTTTAAGTTTTACCTAAATAAAGTTTGACATCATTCTCATGTCTCTAAAGATTCAAACATGATTTAATCATTGCAATACTTTAGTCTATCCATATTTTATGCCCTA